CAGAGAATCTCGCTTGCCCAAGGCCGACCTTTGGCCCTTGTAGTTTCCCTTTTCGGTCCATGTTCAGTCGCCCGAAAAAATGACCACCGCTGATTTCTGGGTCCCAACTGAGCGGCGAAATCTCTCGCGAGGAGTTTGCGAATGCCGGCTACGACCCTGAGGCGCCGGGCAGTTCCCACTGAGCAGCCAGTCACTTAGGGAAGCCCTTTCTGTAGACCAAGGATACCCTTGACTTCGGTTCCTTCAAGGATATTCCATGTTTTTGTTTGAGGGTCAATATAACATCTTAGTCCTTCGGTTTGTGTTGATGTCTTTTACCGGGTGCTAAGACGCGGACCGGATTTTCGCGGACTCCTTCCCGAGCTGGAAATAGAGTGACTTGGGGGTTGAGCTCCGGGTTGCTGAAATGTTATGGGAGCTGGATGTGGGCAAAGACGTTTCTAGCGTGCTCAGCGCAACTGCCCGACCTTGTTTTTCCCCAACAGCTGAAAGCTTTGGGGTCTCAGCCCAGATAGGCTCCGGGGTGGTTCGGGGCGGCCTGAGGCAAGGTTCCACGCGGTTCCACCAGGGTTCCACCAAGGTTCCACCAGGGTTCCACCAAGGTTCCACCAGGGTTCCACCAGGGTTCCGGCGAGCACTAAAAAGAGCATCGCATGCTCTTTGGGATATCACCTGAGTTTATTGTTTTTTGGGTTGGGTTCTCTAGCGTGCTCAGCTCAACTGCCCCACCTTGTTTTTGGTTTTTGGTTTGGGTTGGCCTTGAAATCAACCAACGAATAAGCCCAGGTAACCCAGAGCGAACTACTCGGAACGACTCCATGTCCCCTCTTGGATGAACAGGGAATCAAGACAAACTGGAAATATTTGTTGTTTTCCAGAGGACTTAAGCAACTGGAGGTAGCTGTTTGGGGAAAACATGTGTGCCATCGTTTTTTGGCTTGTGAGTTTGAGTCAATTCGCATGCTGGTAATATGTCTGCGCTGGTCAACAGTGAGCCAAACTTCAGAGCCTGCGGCTCAGGCCGCCAAGATTGCGAGCGTGGCTCATGGTTTCGTGTTGTTCCACGTGTTTTTGAGGTTGTTGGATGTGTTAGACACGCCGAGTAACATGGGTGGACTTGACGCACTACCCCGTTGTGGAACACTGGTCAAAGTTTCGTCGGTGGGTGAGGCAAACCTCTAACAGGTTTGTTGTGGTCATCCTGGAGCTTACTTTCCGAGTTCCTAGATTTGTGCGGCTCTCTGGGAAGACCTTGAAGACCATTTATTTGCTGGTTCCGTTTGGCAGGAATGAGGCAATGACCCCAACTTTCTTGCCAACCAACTTGTTTTCAAGCGAGGCTGAGAGCATGTTTCTTGAACAAATGTGTACGACGCCCGATCCCAAGTTCTGACGGCTTTACCTAGAACAAAATGGGCATAGCCCTTAGAGTGTGAATCCAGTAATTTCAAGCCCCAAGGTTACACACCGGCCTTCTTGTTGCGCTTTGCAATATTTGAATTAATCCAGTGTCTTTCTGAAGTACTAGGTTATGCTTCTTGCTTTGGCCAAACGGCACATCACACCCTAGCCTTCAAACAACCAATACAAGCCACCGATGAGTATGAGGGGCTAAATAGTTATTGTCATGTTTCTCATATGGTTGTGGCTTCAGTTGATTTTGAGACATCCCACAACCCCAATTATAGTGTTGGCCCTTATAGTCTTATGTGGAATGGTTTCCCTATAAAAGGCACTTAAGATAAGCAGCGGGTGTCAAAGTCCACAAGCCTTCTGAGTCGTGGAGAAAGCAACTTTGGCTTTGGTGGTTAGTTGGCCAACGTGGTGGAAAACCTCCTCGAGTTTGGTTAGTTGGCTAACTTCGAGTGGAGCTTCCTGGATTCTATGATTCCTGGATTCTAGGATTCCTTCCTGGATTCCATGATTCCTGGATGCCTGGAGATGAAAAAAAACACGAGAACTTCCATCCGAGTCACCGGATGGTTTTGCCAGGACGCCCGGGTGTCCCAACTTCGACAACTGGTGGCCGCCGCGGAGGCGGGGCCCCGGAGCCGCTCCGGGGCGGTTTTTGGCGAGAGACTGGTCCCATTAGAGGGAAGCCCTCTCCCCCCCCTCCACCCCCTGCACCTCCTCGACCTCGTCCACCTCCTCCACCACCTCCACCTCCTCCACCCCCTCCACGGGTTTTGGTGCAGCCTGACCCTGGGATTCTATTCGGGTGTGTGTGTGTGTGTGTGTGTCAAAGTTCTGGGGGTGGGTTTATAATGTGCTTCCCCTTGGAAGGGGGAGACGTGGATGAAACCGGGTCACCTCACCCACCCCCGGTATGAAGCCCTGGCTTATTGGTTTGAATAAATTTGTTTCATCCTCCTTTCTTGACAGGATATACTAGTGAGTCCAAGACGCATGTGCCAGTCATGTGCTCAGGTATTAGATTCCGGCTCCGTAGGGAGGCAGTGTAGGGACAGCACTGAGGCAGGAACCAGAAATACCAAGGCTATGTCAAAATGACACAGTCGTTCGCCAGCACCCCCGGTCTGGCTATCATTTTTTGGGGGTGTTGCCATACCATTGAGAGGTCTCCTCTCAGCCAACAGCCTCACTGCAGGAAGGCTTTGCGTGCCCTTTTGAACTTTCTCAGAAGGCATAAGATTTGATCCACCTGTCCCGTTGTAGTCCGATTTGTTGTCCCTCATTGATTTGTTCAAGTGCGACGCCCATCTGTTTTGGGGACAGACCTGGATTCTTCTTTAGATGCGTAAGAGGCCACAGGGGATCAATGTGATATACAACCACTGTATAGATGAACAGGTTGCCTTTTTCTGGGCCCCTGTAGCTTCGGTTTGGGTGGGGAATCCATCTTAGCTTGCTTCTCAGCAGGGAATTACAAGGGATTGGGAATGAACCTGACCCCTTAGGAAACCACAAGGGGTGGTCTTCGGAATCGCTCCCTTCTCCTCACTCATCACTCCCTGAGTTCCTGGACTTTACTCGCTTGTTGGGTTTGGATAACATATGGCAAACAACAAGTTCGCTCACTTTTTCCGACCAGTCCACTCGTTCGGAAGTGAGTCAGAGGCTATCGAAGCAGCCGAGACTTCGCAACAGGACGAGATCGTGGAGATGCGGCTTCGACTACAGACCTGTGCCGAGTACAGCCGCCAGTCCATGCACGGCCTCACCAGGTGCGATGGGCTTGCGGATTTTCGGAAAGAGTTTTCGGGTCCCCTAAACAGGGCCCCTCACCCCAAAAGGGGGCTGGTGTAAAGAATAGAAACTCAAGGATTTTGAGGGGGCTCGGACCCATTTGGCTATCATTTTGAAGAGTTGGAGCCACCTCAAAAGTGAGTGGCATGAATCTCCACCGAATTTTGATGTCCGCCGAAGCGTCCCCAATCAAAGATCATGCGCATTTTGGAAGGAATCATCTTAGCATTTGCCAATCTCTTGGGGCAGTGTGGTTGAACAAGAAACCGTGCTGGTCTAGAACAACTAGAGAGGTTGGAGCAAGGGCGCGCTTGTCGCAAACCCGGTCAACGGGTTGGGGATTCCAATTTTTACTGGGGCACCATATCTGGCCACACAAGTATGTGTATTTGCATGTGTATATATATAATATATTTGTGTATACATGTTTTGGGGGTATGTAGTTGGGAGCTATGAAGGGCACAGGATAATCTGATAATCCTTGATTGGACACAGGCATTGGGAACGGTTCGGATCCAGTCATGCGGCATACTTGAGAAATATCAAGCCCCTTCTCTTAGCACATCCATTCGCACTATTTGTAGGTGGATTTACTCTTTGGCCTAAAGCTTACTGAGTGTGTCGCAGCTTCAATGGGATATGCCTTTTGTGGTTCTTTCGGCAAGTGCGATCAGGCTTCTGGCAACTATCATGACAATTCACACCAGTGAAACGGCAGCAGACAGCGCTTCTCCGGGTGTGCATAGGGGATGGTTGCGAGACTTACTTGTTATTCTTACATTGCGCTTGGACCAATCTAGGCACTTTGCTCCAAGTCAGGCTTGGGACATGCCAGCACCGGACCCTTTGTCGCTTTGGTTTGGACCATAGTGGCTCGCAACACAAGTCCAAGGCTCACTCCCTGATCAGTCGTTTGTGGGGTTTGGACGATTTTAAGTAGAAGAGACTAAGAGACCAGTGGATGGGTTTGGGTTCCACAAGCAAAGAGTTTGGCCCTTTTTTGGGGGGGCCAATCCACTCGTTCGGGTCTTGAGGCTGGGAGCCTGCCAATCCACTCTTGAAGTTGGCTGAGACTTTTTGATTCGATTTGGAGGTGCCCAAGCACCGTTTTGGCGAGTCACATTTTCGTTCACGGCCCAAGCCGCCCCTGGGCGGATATCTTTCCCACAACGTGCTTGAATCGTGTGCATCAGCTTTGCCCAGGTTGGCTTAGGTGTACCTGATTTGTTACTTGGATCAACAGCCTTCTATTCCCATGAAAAGGGGTGCAATCAGCCTGCCTTCTGACCTCCGGCAGTGCCTTGTTTCTGACATATATATTTTTGGAAGGGGGTTTCTGGCCCTTGAAATCTTCAACGACCAAAACAATTGAGTGCCAAACATCGAGTACCTCCAGTGCCTGAGTTTTAAGGAGCGAGTTTCCACCCCCTTCCAAAGAACACCTACCCCAAAAAGTCTGGAGTGTGCCAGTTCTTTTCTTCTGGAAATCAACGGATCTGGACTTCCCACCTCCCATGATGGAACCGATTCAAAGGATTTTTCTTTCAATAGGGGATGTGGGTACGAAATTTAAAGCTAACCCCCCAACAGTGGCTGGTGGTTCCATAAATCCCCACCCAAACAATATCAGAGGATGTCCACCAAAGGGCTTCCTGTTAAAATGCTATACCCCTTTGGATGTCTGTGTTTGGCGTGTACCCCGTTTTTTAGGTTGGTTTCGAAGACCCAACAGCAAACCCAAAATCCATGTTGGGTGCCCGTTAACAGACGGCCATAGAACCCCTACACCGAACTGGTGCTTGCTTCCGGCCATCGCCATGTGGTCGGCCATGTGGGCTTCGCCCGCTCGCCCGGCATTGTCGATGCCGGGACTCGCGGATCCTCGGACGCGCGCTGAAGCCCGCACTGCGAGGCAGGGGAGGTGTGCTTGGGTGTTGTGAAAAATGCGGATACCGCAAATGGGTGATTTCCTGTGTGTTTCCTTCAACCCTATTTATAGACATATATGCTACGGGGGGGCCATATATATATATATATAAGATTATTCAACCAAAAACAGAAAGGGCGATTGTGAGTCCTAATTAGGGGATCCTCCACTTTGGGTGGAACCCCCCGCTTTTCCATCCGCGGGCTCCGGGCGCCAGCCTAGCGCTGAAGGTTAGGAACGGAAGCGATTGCCCTTGGTCAGGGATGGCCGTTTTCGGGAGGAGCCTGGTTTGACATATGCGTGGGTAAAACCAATGGTACCATTTTGGGGTGGTGCACCACCCATTTTAATCTATTTTAGTGGGGATTGGGATGTTCACTGGGGGTACGGGGTTTTGACCCATGGCCATATCCAGAGCTAGCACCAAACAAAAACGTGGAGCCACTGGGATCTCCTAACATTGGTCTTCCAGTGGATCTATGTTTGTTTTTGGGAGGGTATGCGGGCTTGTCTCAAAATAGGGGTACCCCCAAAATAAGGGTCTGTTATTCCCCTTTAAACTCAACAAATTTCTTATGGCCACCGGGCAACTGAGCCACGCTTGACCCATGCGCTCGCCGCAGGCTGCCCCGTGCCGCGGCTGCGGCTGGCACCTACGCAGCGCGCGCCACAGCGGCGGCTGCGGCGGCGGCGCGGGTGGCACAGCGCTCGCCCACTGCGCGGAGGAGCAGGGGTCAAAGGAGGGAACAGTGACCGGACCTTGACCGGTTGTTTGTGTTTCTCCCAAATGTTTGTCCGGTGTGTTCTCCCACATGTTTTTGTCCTTGCCAGGTGACCTATCATATTATTTTCCGAAAAGATGTTCCCAAATTAGTTTGCCCTAATTATCTTCACTGGATCTTAGTGCTACCCGGCGTGATTGCCCACAGCTTTCCCTTTTGGGCCCGCTGGACAAAGGGGCCTGTATTCATTGAGCCAGAAAAACGTGCTCCACGTGGTTGTGGGCCTTTTGTCGAAGATTCATCGCTCGGTCGGAACCTTGGGTGTGGTTCCCAGGAATGAGGGAAGTCCCCCGAACAAGGATCCGGATCAGGCGTACTCCCCAGAAAAGCGAGACAACCCTCACCCCCTTACTTTCTGGTAGTTGCACGGCTTCCATTGCCAGATTCGACCCCCAACTTCCCTGAATATACCATCCGTTGACCCACCACAAACCTGCCCGAAGCCCCCCAACCCCAAACCTCCCCCTAAACCCCAAGCCTTCCCCCCCCAACCCCTCCCGCACCCAAACCCTCCCCCCCAAAACCCACCCCTGAACCCGCCCCCAACCCAAACCCCATCTGCTCTGCTGTCCTCCCGCAGGCCGGACGCTGCCGCCGCGCCCAAGCTGCAGCGCTGGCGCCGCGAGAACTCGGCGCTGGCGCTGGCCACCACGTCTTTGGGCCTCGAGGAGGTCGGAGCCGTCGGAGCCGCCGGAGCCGGGCTCACTTCCTGAGTTCCTAGATGGCTGTGGGTCAAAACAGGGCGAACCCCAAAATGGGCCCTGGTAAATGGAACCAAGGACAACCTGTGGTTGTTTGGTGGTTTTGTTTTGACCCACACCCATACAGAATTCTAGGTCCCCCAGCTAGGTGCCCTTTCACCAACTTCTTTTTTGGGGGAGGGTTTTTCTGCCACTAGATGGACTACAGAAAAAAAAAGTACCCTTATTCTAACCTCTCTACTGGAGGACCTAGCTGAGTTCCTATGTGGAAAGTCCACTCATGAAGTAGCGAGGTGTGTCTTCCTTTTTGAGGGTGGGGTTGTTGGGTTAAAGGGGAAAACACAGGCGAACCACCACTGTCTTGGGATGTCTGGAGGTCCACGATTTTGACACCAATTTGCTAGAAGCTATGGGGCTATTTCACTTGCTCAGTGGATTCCTGGTAACAAATTGTCATCCCCCGGAAGAAGGGTCCTTGTTTCCCGACTGTTGCAATGGTCACTGGAGAACTCGTATCTGTCAGGCTGGGGGGAAAAAAACAAAACAGGGGCCCCTGTCACCGTGGAAATTCTGAACAGACATGGGCCGTATCGAACTTCCATTTGAGTTTTGGCGCCAGAGGCCCCGGGATCAACGCGAGCCAATGAGAGCTTTTGGGTGTTCGATGTTGCCAGATCCTTGAGCGCGAGCTGCGCTCCAACGGCGCCGTCACCGCTCCGCTCGGCAGCTTCTGGTGCTTTAAAGCCGCCCCAGGCGGAAGCCCCGAGGGCGTGGACCTGGCAAGTTCCCGAGGAAACACCCCCTCAGTTGGGTGAAAGCGCATGGCGCAATGCCCCTTTGGCGTTTTGGTCGGTTTTGAGGGGGATGACGACACCTAACCGGAAGGAAATGTACAATTCTACAGTTTAACCCACCGCCAGAACCCAACCACTCGTTTTTTAACCATGTCCAAAATCCCAAGTGGTTGGGACCTGGCACATCTTCTTTTGCTCAGTGGGTTTGGTACCCGATTTTGGGATCCATTGCAACCTTCAGAGGCCCCAAAAAGGTGCAGGAGATCTTGGTGAAGGACCTCCAGTGCCTCGTATTCCCAAAGGGTTCCTGTAAACTCAGGTAAGAACCAAGTTTGGTTGCTTTTTCTGGCCAAGTTTCAGGAATTCCTCGCTTTTATGTCGACTTTTCCCGAACTAGAATCGCTGACTTCAAGAGGAAGCGCGCGAGAATGCCCCAGCAGGAAGGCAATTATCGCGAACTTGCCTAGGAACCACCCCACGGTACTTAGACCAAGAACTGAAAGACCAGAAAGCAGCAATCCCGCCCTGGCCGACAAGCTATTAAACAACAACACCAAACACATCAAAGCAGAGTAAGCACAAAGCTGCAAAGCAAAGTGGCAAAAAAAAAGCAACTAAATACCCGTCAGCAATCAAGCGGCCAACCAACCAACCAACCAGCCAACCAACCAGCCAGCCACCCACCCGCCCACCCGCCCACCCACCCACCCGCCCACACCCGTCCAACCAACTTTGCTCGCCAGGCCAAGGCTTGCCCCACAGCGAAGCTTGGCGAGTGGTTGGGTCGGGCAAGGGCCATCATTCTGCGTTTCCGACAGGTCCTCCGGGGTTAAAGCGCACGACAGATGTGAACCGAGCGAGTTTGAGCACGCAGGATCACGCCAAGTATCGGGAAATCATCCGATGAGACACGCACGTCAGTATCCCACTTTAGCTAGACAGGATGGCTGCCCCGAGCATCGTGCTCCGAGCACCGTTCCACAGTCTGAGCGCTACATAGAACATAGTGTTTGCTTTCACCACTGAAACCAAAAAGGAGTGGGGAGGGATGTTCTTCGATTCTTTCTGGACCCCGAGTGACAGAACTGTATTTCTAGATCCCGCTTTCAACATCGACTTGACAGAGATCCGATCCAGACAGCCACGAGAAAACCTCGACTTCCGAAAAGAGCGATGGTTGAACAAGACACGGACTAACCATATGAAGTTTCAGGGCTGCATTAACGTATTAGGGTAGACTAAGTTTGGGACGGAGTCGGGACACATGATGTGTTGTGTGCCCCTTTGGCCAAGGCAACCCCAGATGCATACACCTTACGGATTTGTTGAGGGTGTTGCCCGAAGTCAAGGGAGCCTTTTCAACGGGACACCTCTGATTTAATTCCAGGTGTGGGCCAAGGTGTTGTTTGATTTGCGGCTCGTTCCATTTCCGTGGCTCCGACTTGTTTGACCCGAGGCCACGCAAGCCACTCGACTCAACGTGCCGCCAAGGAATGGGCGCTCGGATGACCCGGAAACTTACGGCCACTGAGAACCCAATGGGGCGACATCTCCCAAGAGTCTCTTCTATACTTGACTGCTATTGGGTTGGATCTTTAGACTTTAACTTTAACTTTTTGGGAAGTGGAAAACCAAACCCACAAAAAGTTAAACTTTTCCAGAATTAGTTCCCCTTTTTATGTGTTTGCTTTTTTGGGGTTCCCTTTGTTTTCCACTAACCAGGCAAACAATATTTGTTGCTGGGGTCCTAATTCCAGCCAAGATGTCGAGATCAACCAGGGTTTGCTGGTCCAGGGTTAACTTCTTGTAGGACACACCTGGCGTAAAACGAGACCATGATGAATAATTATTGTCCTTGTGATCCATTTCCTAGTTCGATGTTTGGAAACATTTGCAGAGGCTACTGTCTGGGCTGAAGGCAAGGTGTTTGACTTTCGGGAAATGCTCAATGCTGAAATCGTCAAGCGAACAAGTCGAGATCTATTTTGATAGGTTTCGGCTTTATGCACTGGCTTCCTTGATCTGGTTTATAACTTTAAAGGGGTGCACCTTGGCCGCTTTAGCCAGAGGCTGCAAATCGCATGCCTTTTCCAAAATCCGGACAGACACTCCCGAAGTTCCTGGACTTGATACTTGGCTGTGGGTACCATTTTCGGGTAGGTGCACCACCCATTTTAGTCTACTTTAGTGGGGATTGGGACGTTCACTGGGGGTACGGGCGTTTGACCCATGGCCACTTCTTGGGAGGACAACTGTAGAGGCTCACAACGGGTTTGGACTTTTTCTGGCCGATCCACTCAGGAAGTGAGGACACATACCTGTTCAAACCCCAGCCATGCTTTCGATTACTTAAGGTGGCGTGATCCGTGGTGTTGCTGGGCGGTGCTTGGAGCAACCTGTTCTTTAGTTTGCCAGCGCTTCCATTAAAGAAACAAACAGCTTTGTTTCCCTTAGTTCAGGCCAGAACCCTTTTGCACCTGGCCAAATATCTATGGCTTTCAAGCTGAGGTTTGGTTCAAGGTTTAGGTGATTCGGCGAGGGTTTTATTATAGGGTTCGGTATTGAAGTTTAATGTTAGGCTGCATGGCAACAGGACCAGTTGTTTTGTGGCGTCATTGTCGTCAGCCGGCTTTTGGCTAGAAGCACATGCAGAAGTGTCAAGCCCGCCCTGGTCTGTGGCGAATTAGATTTTTCGTCTTCTGTCTGCTTCGGTCATTCTTTCCATCGAAGTCAAGAGTCGGTGAGCCCGTTGTGATTTCAAGACACTTTCGTCTCAACACAGGAAGCCCCCTCCAAAATGTTTAAGGTTTCCTTTGATTGCTCTTTGAACCGACGGACGCACCCATATATCACCCGCTTGGCATCTGGTTGGTCTTCGGTGCACGGTCTCCTTTTGGTTTTCCCTTTAAGCCCAACCACAAAAAGGTTCCCCCAAAGAAAGCACCCTGCATGTCGACCCTGGATCGATGTAATGCACCTCTGGTCGAGTAAGGGAGTGGTTCCAACCTTGGAGTAGAGAAAGGTCTCTTTGCAGTTTTGAGCTCAGATGACCAGATCCTGGAGTGAGCCGAGTGTTTTCTGCGCAAGGTGCTGAACTCCTGAGCCGACCCTTAGTTGGTGGTTTGGATTTGAACCCCTGGTTCTTGTGGAGGGTACATGGGAAACCACCCCAAACCTTCGAACCACCGGCTCCAAGCCACCCTTTGGGGAAGACTCGTGAGCCAAGTCTCAGCAGCTTGGCTCAGGTCATCCGCCTTTCTGCGCTGGTCATGGATGATGACTTGGCGCGCCTGGAGACCAAGCTGGCCACGTCGGCGTCCGCATTCTCCACGCAGATCCAGGCGGGCAAACGACGGCAACTGGTGTGTGTGTTTAATCTGCTGCTAGCTTGGTGTACCTCAAAAGTTGAAAAGCTGGTTTTGGTTGCCCCAGCTTTTCAAGAAGTCATGGATGTGGATGTGTCCTTTTTTGAGGGCACGCCCTTTTGGCGTTTTTTTAATAGAGGGCAACTAAAAGGAAACCGTTGCGCGGTTTTGGGGGTCCGAATCCTAAAAAGACACACCCAAACGCCGGTCCAGGGTGGTGGAAAGGGCTTGGTTTCCCCTTGTCAGCGGTTCCCAGCCAAATAATCCCTTAGATTGGAGATGAATGACATATCCTCTCAACAGTTTGACTTTGAAGGGATTGCCAGGGAACTTCCCGTTTGCACAGTGACTTTCTCAAGTTTACCCCGGCCTTCCATCAGCTTCGCACAGAAGTGGGTGTGTCTGTTTCTAGGATTTGGAGCCCACCAAAAAATGGAGCAAAGCAAGATTTGTGAGTCTCAAAGTCAGCCCTGTGGGTCTCGGTTTTTTCGGGCCAGTTTCTGAGGTTTGTGGGGAAGCTGAACCCGGGGTTGTGACTTTGTCAACCGCGGATTTGAGCAACAAAGACTTCGGAATGGGTGGGGGATTCGAAGCCCAGAATGGTAGTTGTCCTTTTGACTTTCCGCTACAACCATAAGATCCTCCAAGAAAACACAGCCGTATGTCCGCGAGTGGCTATTTCATTTCTTCGACGGTGACACAAAGGTGCGCGTGTTCCGCCAAACACAAGCCGAAACGACCTGTAGATGGCTACGTGAAGCAAGACATGGTTCTGCTCCAGGGCTGCTCGTGCCCCTGGCTTCGCGGGCTTCCCATGCAGCAAGGCCGTCTTCACAAAGACGCACACGCCACCAACGCGGGGCTGCTCACGAGGTTTGCCGTTGGACCCCGTGCGACATGAAGGGGTCCATCTTCTATTCACCGGCATTCACAGCATTTGTTCGGCTTTGGGCTGAATGCAATGGGAGAGACTTATCATTTTGTCACAGCAGACTTGAGGTGCCCTTCGCCAATGGGAATCCTCGGGCTCCCGTGTCTGGACTTGGTTCAAATGGGTGGCTCGTCTTCTGTTGAGGTACCTCTCTGGAGTAAAGGGAAACCGCAAGGAATAACCATAGGTGTCTTTTGTGATTTGGGCAGACACGTGATGATGATTCTTGGTTGACCATGGTTCTGAACCTACCGCCATGTTTTTTTTTGTTTTGTTTTGTTCCCCCGATTTTGGGACACCTGTGTAACAAATCGCAATGGGGGTCCCCCTTTTAAGACCCACGCACCCCACATGATTAAGAGCCAGGTTGAGATTTATCGGGGGTATCCCTTTTTAGAGCAACTTTTGGGGAAACAACCAGAATTCGTAAGTCCAGAGAGGACTTGTATGATGTATGGCAATCTTGGGAGCATCTTCTTTGGAGGGCTCCCGCTGTTTTGTGGCTTCAAAGAGCACCAAAGGACAGCCGTTGCGCCATTTGAGGGTCCGAATCCCAGAAGAAAAAAACAGCTCAGGTAGTATCGCCAACAGCATGCGGAGCTCTTTTTAGTGCTCGCACCACCCCGCAGCCCTCGCAGAACCTCGTGGAACCCTGGTGGAACCCTGGTGGAGCCCTCGTGGAACCTTACCTCAGGGCCGCCCCGGACCAGTTGCTTTCCAATCAAACTCAACCTGGTTCTGCATCCGCCCCTTCCAAAAGCGGCTCGTATCCCCACGGTTCTTTGCCTGCGAGGCGCTGTTGCAAGAACTTGGCCGGGGAAGGAAGCGCAAGGCTCGGCGCTTCCTGAGGCGTTCCCAGTTGAAACTGGGGCACCGGCAACCTGCCGTGCTTGACTCATTATTTTTGCGCCCAGCAGCTGACAGCTTTGGGGTCTTTGCCCAAATAATCCTTGGTTGGTGGCCTTGTTTTCCCCACCAGATGACAGCTTTGGGTCCATAGGCCCGAATATGGTTTGGTTGGTGGTTTGGCCCAGTTCCAAGAGAGGGTTTGGGAAAGGTTTCGGGGTTCCGGGGCTGCCACTTGTTCTTTGTCTGAACTACTTTGAGTGTTGTTTATTAGTTGGTTTGACATGGTAGGGACTAAGGGGCTCGGTTTGATGCACTTTGAATGACTCATGCCACTTGACTGTTCTCGTCATTACTGTTTGTTTCTAGCTTAGTTTCATTGCCTTTTCCGAACGGCCGCAAACTTAGGGTCTCAGCTCAGATGGGCTCCGGAGTGGTTCGGAGTGTTTGCGGGCAACCTTTCAGGAAGACCATTTTAGTGGTAACAGTTTTGGCCAATCCACTTGGGAAGTCACGCGGTTCTGATGATTTCAAAGAGCGATTGCAAAGGAACGGCCAAAAGTTGACAAATGCTTGTTCTTGACAAGGCTGAAGATACCCCCACTCAAATTCAGGCAACCGCGGCCAAAAAGCACCGCGCTTTGGCTTGGCTTTTGGGTGTTGAGGTTGGGATTGGTAGCTGAAGGCGCTGCAACATGTTTTAACTCACTTCATGGACAGTAGTAAAGGTCTCCGAACTTGTTGTCATCCATTTTTTTGTAAAATAATAATCAAATGAACAGTTTGAACTGTTGTTGACCAATGCACTCAGGAAGTCTCGACATAGAACCCAATACCCAAGCAGCCATCATTGTGTTTTGAAGAATCTGCCATGTGGGTTTGCACGGGAGGGGACACCTGGTTGCTTTCCTTTTGGTCTCTTCAACCCTTCAACAGCCTGAACTTGGGGACCCCGAGGTTTTTGGGCACACTCAACTCACCTGGCCAGGCACTGGAACCCCCCTGGTTGATTCTTGCGAGGGTGGTGGTGTCCCCTTTTTGAGGCCAACCATCGCTTTTGGCGGGGAAGCACTCTTCCCATCAATTGACTGATCCGTCGACATGAAGAAGCATGGAGCGGCCCCCCAACTCCTGGAGCACCCTTCGTTACATAAATTTCTGCCCTTAGCCCCAACGTATTGCAAAACCAGGGGTCGTCACCAAAATATGGTAAGCGTACACTTTTTCCTGCTTCGAGCGTTTTCCCAAAACCGGGCTGGTCGGTCCTGCAAGATGATCGGTCGCTGAATATTCAAAAGGAGCGAGCAGAAATCAACGTGCAAAACGAGCGCACATATCCGCAAAATGAGCGCACATATCCGCAAACGAGTGCACATTTAAAAACGTTACAATCCCGCCTTCCTCGGGATGTGGTCGAGCGTTTTTCGGGGGGGCGAGCGTTTTTGGGGGGTCGAGCAGAAATCGGTAATTCGAGCGTTTTTTCTCGTACCTAAAAAAAAGGGCACGTTGGGTGCCTCAGGCTCAGACATGATCCCATGACAACGAGCCGCAGAGCAGAGCTGTCGTGCAGGGCTTCATTTGAGCCAAAACAAACACCCGAGAACGTTTCAACGAGTGAACATCTTTGAAACTGAGAATACCACCAGCCACCAGCCGGAGAAAATTCGTGGAACTCTTGGGGTATGTTCAGATTCTGTCGGGCTCAGTGCGGTAATATTGACCTCATATTAGTCAACCCCTCTCTATTTTATTCTGGGGGTGTCCACCTCCAAAAGTGGACTGAATCCCCACTAAAGCCAGGAACAGCCCCATATATTAATATCTAGGGGTTTGATTCATAAGGGTATGGGTCAAAATTAAACCACCTGATTTTCATAGAATCACTGCTAAGAGTCCGCAAAAGGGGTCCCCCAACAGTTAAGCGCTTAAAAGCAGCAAAACTGCACATTGAGTGCGGGGGGGTAAACATTGGGAACCCACGACTGGATCCTATGATTGAGTGGGGGTTGGTATACCCTGGGACACCTAATTTAAAGGTTTTTCGTGGAATTTGGGCAACACCTTCAAATTAGGATGTGTTTTGGAGTATTTGAGTAGCATTTGAGTAGCATTTGAGTAGCATTTGAGTAGCATTTGAGCAGATTCGACCAAAATCTTCAAATTAGGATGTGTTTTGGAGTATTTGAGAGCATTTGAGTAGCATTTGAGTAGCATTTGAGTAGCATTTGAGCAGCATTTGAGCAGATTCGACCAAAATCTTCAAATTAGGATGTGTTTTGGAGTATTTGAGAGCATTTGAGTAGCATTTGAGGAGCATTTGAGTAGCATTTGAGTAGCATTTGAGCAGATTCGACCAAAATCTTCAAATTAGGATGTGTTTTGGAGTATTTGAGAGCATTTGAGTAGCATTTGAGTAGCATTTGAGTAGCATTTGAGCAGCATTTGAGCAGATTCGACCAAAATCTTCAAATTAGGATGTGTTTTGGAGTATTTGAGCAGCATTTGAGTAGCATTTGAGTAGCATTTGAGCAGCATTTGAGCAGATTCGACCAAAATCTTCAAATTAGTATGTGTTTTGGAGTATTTGAGTAGCATTTGGGTCATCATGCCAATTGTCCATAGCCCCAGGTGATACTGCCGACCTTGAACATGAAGTGGCAGCATCAAGGTTCATGTGCCCAGAGAAAAAATGTAGCAAATCTAGCTTTTTAGTCACTATTTGAGCAATATCCATTTATGTGGCAAAAAGAGTTTAAATAGCGCTTTTTAGGTACCATTTGAGCAAAGAGCACATTACTTTTGGGGGACCCCTTTTGGGGACTCTTAGCAGTGATTCTATGAGATTTTTGTCCCACTTACTAGGGTTCCATTTGGGGTACCTGTTTTTGACCCACAGCCATATGGGGTCAACATCACTCGGGTGGCTCGTACGCCAGGCCTCTTACACGGTGAGCTGCGTTCTAGACGCCAGGACCGGGGTCTGATCGCCAGCGCGACCTCTTTTTGGACCACGGGCTTTTGGTTAAAGGTAACCGTGCTTCGCGGTTCGACAGGGAAACAAAAAGGAAGCCACCGTTTTTGGGGGTCCCCAGAAAAGGACATGTGAATAAAATATTACTTGGTGCGGCCTGAAGAAAGAACCCACCACTCATGAATATCATGCCGACATCCTCTGTGTTGTGTTGTTCCAGGTGCGTATTTCAAGCGTAATTTGGCGTAACTCAGACAAAACCCACTCACGCAAAACTCTGGCGTAACCCATCCGTAATTTGGCGTAGCTCAGGCGAAACTTTGGCTCGCCGAACAACTCAAGCGTGATTCAAGCATCGCCTCAGCAGAAAGTCATTGACCTTGTTTTTCACGCCCTCGGCTTCCCACTCAAATCTTTTTGGGGCCCTCGGCTTCCCACTCAATCTGGTCAACTTCCCAGAGACCCTTGGTTTCCTTCAAGAGGACAGATGCCGTCCTGGGCGGCTCCGCTTCCTTCGAGGCGGTCACCGCAGGCATCTGCCAAGGCGAAGTCGTGTTGGAAGGTTCGAAGTCGAAGCGTTTGAGGCACGCGACTTCCATGTGCCGTTTCTGAGATTCTCAATTCCTCAATTCCTGGACTTCCGACTTTTCGGGTAGACCGGTTGAGTGGAAGACAGAAAGTTTGGACCTTTTTTTGACCCACGGACTCAGGAAGCGAGTATTGTTCTTAAATGTCCCCCAGTTGGTTTCAGAGGGAATCAGCCACTACTGGAAATATGTTGTGTTTTTCTCCTTTGCCTTGAGCGAACATTTTTTTGGGGGAGGGCGGAATCAGTTGAATTACTCCCTTCAAGTCCCACCTTGTTTGAGGGGAGCCTACGGCCACTCGGGGGGTGCAACAAGTGCAGCAAGTTGACAGGAGTGGTCTCCAGGCATTTCCTCACGGAGCCCTCTAAAGAACTAAGAGGCTGTTGAAACATGAGTGCTGCAATCTGTTTCAGTGGCTCGAACAACCCCAGTTGGCAGGCATCAGCGCTACCACCAAGTGGCGCCTAAACGAGAAGAGGCTGGCAAGGGCTGGCGGCTGACTGGATTTTGAGCCGAAGATTGTAACCTCAACGGCCACCTAAACAATTATTGCAGGACATAAGAACCTACACCAAGGGTGTAGTTGGGATTCCCCGAGGTCTCCTTTACATGGAATCCCAGTTCATCAATCAACCCCAGGTAGTTCATGAATAGAGGGTGCTGCACTTGAGAACGAATCCTTCATGATTTAGGGCAACTATCAGGAGGTTCTCTACTGATTTCTCAGTCATCTACCTGCTGTTGCTGCTGCTGCTGCTGCTGCTGCTGCTGCTGTTGCCGCTAATCCAGCATCACCCCACGGGCATCTCCAGGCCGGAGATTTCCATCGTGGCCCTCTTTGGTCTCGAGCTCAGGATGTTCATTTCATTTTTTCGGGAAGCCCCAAAACGGTGGGTTTTCTTTCCTTTTGGTGTTCCTTTGACCCGACACAAAAAAAGTGCATGCATACCCTCAAACAAATGACAGACTTTGGGAAGCTTGCATTCTGTTGCTTGTTGCTATTTTGAAAGTGTTGTTGTCCATGTATAAATGTCCCACCAAAAGTCACATGGGCACATAACCCTTTTTTTCCCATGGCCTCTTGGGAAAACCTTTTTGGTCGCGGCTTATGTGACAAACAACACACTTCCAAGTTGTTTACACCTTTTTTGGGCGGCAGGCCAAGTCGCTCGCCAATCCACTTTGAATGTCACTTGGACAAACAGGGGAACCCCGGACCACGAAGTCTAGGCATCCCCACCCCCGTAAAAATGGAATCGGAGAGGGGGGTGACCCCTGGAATTCCATTTGTGGTTTCATGCTCCCTTTTATGGGGAAGGCTAGACAAATGGAATTGGTGACCCCCCACCCCCCTCCTCCTTGTTTGTTGTTTTCGAGGTCGCGACTACTTCGCGCTGGGGGAGGTGGTTCAGAGCCGCGACCGCGATGAGGCTGAGAGAGGCCCTGCGGCAACGGCTTCGCGAGTGCTTAGATGGTCTGGGACTTCGGTAAACGGTCAGCAACCCTAGACTCTATCCTGGTTACAACACAGGGATCGGAGACATGCAGCAATGACTGTGGTAGGTTGTAACCATGGCTACAAACCCCTTAGCGATTTGTCCGAAAGTGACCTTTGCGAGAGTTGCGCAAGGCAACATGAACACCATCAGGAGTTCGTAGACCGAAGGGAAAACGGGTGGCAAATGAGCCATCCCAAGAAACAGGGCACGCTAAGGGTCCGGAAAGCGTTGGTGCCATTGATTAGTTGGTTACAGCTCCTTTGGACAAAACACGCAGCCTGTGCAGTGTCGATCATCGTTAATCCATCGTGGGACACGCGGGCTTCGGTTGGTAAGGGTTCAGGTCGTACCATATCGTACCTCGCTCGAAAGATGACTCTTAGAGCCAGGGCCAGTTGCAAGCTTCAGTGGACAAGCCCCTTGAACTCGCTGTATTGGTTTGGTGTTTGGTGTGTTTGAGGCCCGCTCAAAGTGGAATTGCAAAAAGACATGGCGGTCTCGTTTTTGAGGGACCCTTGGCCTTTTTTGGGTTCTTTAAAAGAGCGGGGTTCAAAAACCGCGTTGCATTGCGATTACAGGGGGTGGTCATTGGGGGGTTTTGCGCGTAAAGCAAACATGCGGCGGCGTAAGCCCGCGTAAATGTGTTGCGCAAGTGCAAGTGGCAAGCTACCCCTGTTCTTGCGTAAGCTCGCACAAGCACCTCGGCGTAAGATTTCCTGACAACCTAGATTTGAGCAGGACGTTTTGAGCACCTCGGGAAGTAACGGAAACCAGCGAATTTAGGGTTCCCATTTCGAGAGCAACTCACACATGGTTCCCTTTTGCTACCAGATTTTGTCTCGAGATGGTGAACCTAAAGTGGGTGTGTTTCTTGTGTTTCCTGTTAAGCCCAAGGGAGTACCCTTTTTCTGACAGGTTCACTGAACCACTATAGGGTTCAGCGCTTTTCCCAGAGTCACTAAGCTGAACGCCAGGGTTGTGGGAAGCACTTTGGAACAACCAGACCTTCCGCATCTTTCCGCATTAAAGAGGATCCAAAGGGAGTTGTTTTTTTCTCGGAAGCAACAGTGGATAAAATATGTTTAACACCTTGCTGGTTCTCAAAAGGGAAGGAGGGAATGTTCTTTTTAAACCATCCCCTATGGTTTCTTTCAAGGGAATCCCAAAACAGTTCATTCCCAACACCCGCAAGGTCATTCTCTACCTACCCATCGCACCAGCAACTTGAGATTGACATGGCGACCCAAGGGCTCCCGTCAAGAGGAGATTCAGATCCAATACCCATGTCAACATTTGGGGTGTCAAACTATGGCGCTCTTTGGACCCGTGGAGCCACCGCTTCAAGGAGAAACACGGGGTCCCAACTTTGCAACTTTGGCCCCCCTTTTCTTTTCGACTGGATTCTGCAACAATGAAAGTATTCAAGAGGCCCAACCAAGGTTCCTTTTGTACAAACGGGCAACCCATGTTTCCAAAAGGGAAACCCAAATTTGTTCCCCTTCCCTTTTCTTTCCTTTCTGACCCGTGTTTCCATGGGTTTCCAACTTGGTTTCCATGCTTCCCCTCTCCCCCCACCTTGACCCGCGACAATTTTTGCGTCTTTGGTTTCGCCTCTCGGGCAGCCGCGCTAGCGAGGCGCCATGGCGTCCTTGGCCTGCGGCGCGCTGCGGGGCAACGCGCTGGCGGACCCCTGCTGCGGCCAGGGCCTTTTGCTCGCCGAGTGCCTCAAAGCCTCGAAGGCGCGCGGAAGTCGGAGAGGCGGAGTTCGGAGGGGCGGATCAGCGTGTTTCTTTTTGGGGGGTGGGGGGGTGGTTTTGTTGGACCCCCAAGATGGATTTCGGTTAGATTGTGGTGGTTTCCCTCAAACCACGACAGAAAGAGGCAAGAAAGACACACCCAGTCGGGTTTGTGTTTGGCTGAGGCTTGGGAATGCTTCTTTTTTCGGGTCCCATTTGAAGTGATGCGAAAGGCATACCAAGAGCAAACCATATTTTTCCGGGTTTTTGACATATACCAAGTTGCATGTGGGAAGCGACCACTTAGAACAAAAATATTTGGGATGGCTGACTATTTGGATAACTAGTTGGCGAGTACTGTTAAGTGCGCGGGTGTGTTTGTGTGTGTGTGTGTGTGGGTCCTATTAGCCCTGTCAGTTGGAGGATGATTCGCTGAATACGAGGAAGTTCCTGTTAAGTACATGTGAACCCTTTTTGAACACCTGTTCCATGTTGATGAACATTTGGATCAATCACTACCACGGTCATTGCGGCGACTTCTTGTATTTGGGGGCATTGACCTCCCACCTGCGCCGCCGGGATCGCTAGCCTGAAGATATAGAATGATTGCAACAGAGCTCCCCCAAAACGGGGCTTCACATTTTCGGTGTCCACTTAAACAAAATAGATGGTACTGGTGAATAGAACCAAACTGCAACCAGTACAACCGAACCTCACCCCACCTTGGACACCTATGATATCCCCCATGCACATCACTGCACTCCTATAGAACTCAGTTCACCTCGACCCAACCGGTGATGTCTAAAACACCCAACGGGGATCTTATGAGAGCCTAGGCAAGGAAAATGACAAACACCAGTTGAAAACTAAACCACGTCAGATTTCCAGGGACAACCTTCATTATCGATCTCTTGCTACAAGTTATTTTGTGTGTGTGTGTGTTGTTTTGTTTTTTGATATGACGAAAAATACTCCAAATCCTGCAAACCTCATGGATCAAGGGGTCGCCTAACATAATCTTAAAAAATATTTTTCCCACAGAGCTTCCTTCACGACTCCCACATGGTTTTGCTAGTGGTTTTCCTATTGGTTTTCCTTCAAAAACAATGACAAAATGGGTATCCTCCACAAAAAGAGGACACACCCATGTCTTTGAGGGCAACGCGTGAAGTTCATGATTCACGGACAGGGACCAGGCCCTTCGCCAGCGGGGCCTTTTTGGTGTCAAATGAAGAGCGCCCTCGTTTTGCTTGGAGGTCGCTGCATGGGGTCCCCTTTGCGGTTTACCCTTTGGGCCAGAAACAAGTGATGCTCCTTGAAAGGGGGGTGAAGCCTCGGAAGCAGAACCCTGGTAATTCGGACGGGTTCCATTCGGGGTGAAAGGTCGAAGGCTCGGGAACATACCCCTGGAATAAGCCAAAGAATAAGGGTGAGATACGGGTAACTCATCTCTAAATATGGCTTAACTGTTATTTTTCTCCTTTGGGGTTTGGTCAGTGGGAGGGAACCCTGCTGCTGGCTACCGCTCCCCCTGCGCGCCAGGCTGCTCCTTCTCGCGTGCTTGGGCACGATGTGCGCCAGGCTGGAGAGCGCAACCCTGTGCCCACAACGGCCCCATTGACCATAGTTGGTGGTTCCGCTGGGTCTCAGATGCGGGTGGAGATGGAGACACTTTGACACTGGTGAAATCTTGCCAGCAAAAAGGCGCTTGCAAACCCAAACCCAGTCGGCATGCTCGGATGATCAACCTGCTTAGGAATGCGGGAATGCCAGAAAAGCGTAGTTCTATGTCAAGCGTACTTACAACCCTGGTTGTAGCCACATACACTAAGTACTGTCGACCCCGCATTCATCAACCCCACGGACAAATAGGGGTGTTCCCACAAGATATGAAGGATCCCCTCAAAGTTCAAGCGAGTGTTTTCTGTGCAAGGTTATTGAGACATGTTCAGCATTCACCCGAAAGGGGGGTGGCACGCGGCAAGCCCAAGTTGCGAATCGCATGGAGGTACCGAGGGCGCTGCTCCCTTTCGTTGGGCTCCCATGACTCATGTTCCTGGCTTGGGGATTTGTTGCTTCAGGGTTGCGGTCTCCTCCAACACGTGTTTTTTTTGTTAGTGACACAGACTCAGAACATGGGCCTGTCTTTTTGAAGCTGCTTGTGTTGTTGTGGTTTTTTCAAGGGACTCCGGGATCGTCTGATGTTCTGCGTCGAGAGCAGGTCCCACGTGTCTCTCTGCTGATGAGGCGGCGGTGCGCGGGGCGGCCCGGCGCTCTGAGCTCGCGGGCGCTGAATTGGCGCAGAAGGACGGCAGCGAGTGGCCGCTGCAGCGAGGCGTCCGCGGGCCCTCCCCGGGCGAGTGCTGAGCCTTCGGTGTGCCGCGAGTCGTAGTTCTAGGGGTTGATTCCAACCGTTCTCATTCTTTATCAACCATCGTTCTTGTCAAGAACCAGCTAGTTTCCCTGGGTTTCCGGAGGTTTCCTAGAAAGAAGGATCCCTGGAAAGAATGGGGAAGGTATCCCTAGAGTAGTGCTCAGTTGTCCAAGAGGTCAACAAAAAGGAAGCCGCTCACTTTTTGGGAGGTCCATTTTGAAACAAATGCGCGCTCACATTCCGAGTTGTCCAAAACCGGCCTTTTCCGGTTTTGGTTCATGCATAGCCAAGGTCCCAAAAAGTTGACCTTCTATTTTCCAGGTGCTTTGGGCAAGTGAGAATGACCCCTAGGCTGTTCAATGGCAATCCGCAAGATCTATACCTTAGTTATCAGGGATGGAAAATCGGACCCCTGGCTGTTTTTGATTGGTGGGAGTCTGCTAGTAACGGATCTCACTTTTGTTGTCATTAAGCGAACCCCTAACAATTCCTTGCGGTTTCCTGACAGTTCCCGCCCCTGAAAGTTGACAACAGCAAGACACAACGGCCCTTGGAAACCCACCAAAGGGCTTCGCGAGATCTGTGGCCTCCGAAATTATGCTTTTTTAGGTCGGCTCAATATGAAACGGAGCCAGAAATATTTTAACAACCGTGTACGCCAATGGGCCAAGAGATGTTCAGTGGCAACCAATCTTGCAATATACGTTTTGCTTGCTAGGCGTCCCACCAAAAATGGAGTCGACCCCTGGAAAGGCTCCCCTAGACGCTGGTATAGTGGACCAGCCTCCAACCTGCATAGAAAACCCCACGTTTTCTGGGATGTTTCACGAACTGGTGTCAAATTGGGGTCCGCAAGGCGGTTGCCAAGTTGGAAAGCTTACAGGTTGCGGTGTGCTATGGAAAGGGATGTTGCGCTTTGGGAGGCTTGCATGGGAATCATAATATGCGTGTGATGACATGGGGTTTACCTTGCCAAGCGGTATTTGGGTTGGGCTTCTTCAAAACAGCCAACAACACAAATGGGTAAGCCCTTTCTTGGTTCCAGTGATGGACATGCGTTTTTTTTTTTTTTTGGCTTTTCGGTTCTCACCCGAACCCTGGAAATTCCTGGGAGGGGGGGGTTCTTGCGGGTCTGCTCTTCCCAGGGTTGAACCCAACGGGGTGGCGCAAAAGGCCCTACGGCTCCAAGGTGGAAATTGTCAGCGAAACAAAAAACAAAAAAAGGCCCTACGGCCCTACGGCCCTACGACCCTACGGCTCCAGTTCTCAGCGAAAAAACAGCATAGTGTTTTTTAATTATATATGGTGTCCATGTGTCTTTCAGCATTGTATTTTGATCGTTCCGCCCAACAGTTCCTAGCCTCTTTGGAGTGTCATGGGCAGTAACTTCAAGTTGCCACTGTTGGGATTCGATCTTCATGACCTCCAACCACAAACCGCCTGTCTTAGCCCCACCCCTTCCGAAAACAAATACTTAGCCCAGGTGGTATTCCCAACAACCCCAGACCTCCTGGAGCCTGGAATTCTCCGGAACTCTCCCTGAAAGTTGCTCCACTCCAAAGCTTTGGAATTGCCCATCGGCCCCAAAGCTTAGCCTGACAAGCTTCCATTGCCATGCTCGTGGAAAATCGGGGGCCAGCGTCTGTGAAAGAACACCCTTCAAAGTCCCTCACCGTTGTGCCCCATGTTTTAGTGGCCCCAAAAGCTGTTTCTGGCTTTTGGGCTGAGATGAAATAGTAGAAGGGATCATCCACTTCTGCAAGGATTGCTACTCACCTTTCCACTGGCACTAGGAACGCCGCGCTTGGCGCATGAAGACACCACGCAGTCCATACTCTGTGCTCCAGTATCACAGAAAGGGTCATTTTCGACCATGCGCTTGGATGCACAGGTGAGGCGGATGTCGTGATTTCCGACCTCCCGAACTCTGGCAGTGACGAGGCCCGGAGTCTATGTGTTCAGGTCTCTTTGATTGGGGTGAGTTTTTTTGACAAAAAATCAAGCAACTGATATCATCTGAGAGTTCCTTTTTTCAGGGGAAGAATGGGGTTTCTACTCGGAGTAGATGGGTCCATGGCTTTTGACCCATGAGGCTCCAGCTTCGGTCTCGTCGTTCTGGTTGATGGATTGCGGTTGGTTTCGCCAGTGGAAACCCGTTGCTCACTGCCTGAGTTCCTGGGCTCCGTGCTTTTAAGGTGAAAATGTTGGTGGCGAACAAAGAAATCGAGCTTTGTTTGGTTATTCCATTGGTTCGGAAGTGAGTCTTAGATCGCCTTCCAATCGTGGAAGCTGGCCATCTGAGGCTTTTGAAGAAGAACTCCCCAGGCACATTCATTTCGCACGAAAAGGCTTTTGGAAGCATGAACGCTGACGTCCAAGGCCTTTTGGAAGACCCCCCGCACCCGTTCCACGTTGAACAGAGGGTACCAACAGCGACCTAGGAAGTCACCGAGCTGTACCAGCGCGTGGTTGCCGAGGCTGAGAGAGAGAGAGAGAGACAAAAAAGAAGATGCCTTTTCCGAGGCTGAATCTGCCAAATGGGGTGTTGAATTGAGCCCAAGGCAAGTCGACCTCTTGACCTTTTGTTTCTCCTTGTTGGTCCATGTTTAGTCACAGCCACAAAAACCCATTCCTTTAATTTCTGGTCCTTTGCACAAGTGATTGATTGGTCAGTTTGGTCTGGTGTTTAGTTCCCAGACACCTGGACGAACGAGTTTTTCGGACATGTCCAGAAACTCCCAACATGTCCGCGGGGACCGCAGGTGAAGGATCCTAAGCGTTCCCTGGTTTCCATGGGTCACGCTCAATGCTTTGAACATCAGGCGAACTTTGAAGATCCACTAGCAAACAGGTGCCCTTTTTGATTTCTGGCTAGATGTCTGGAGTATGGGACCCCTTGGGGAGGGGTGTCCGTGGCCCATGATCTTTGTTGCCAATTCTGACCTCGGTTGGAGAAGCGCCCGTGTTGAAATGTGTTGCTCAAAAGCCACACGGGTTCGGTTTCCATGCACATGTGTTGGTCCTCCGGCCCGAGGTGTGTTTGTAAACGATCGAATCATACATGTTTTGCGGTGCTAGCTCTGTTAGCAGACCCAGGGCTTCGCTTACCACTTCCCATTACAGTAGGGAACTAGGGGCAACCATCATGTAGCGCCTAGAGGCAATAAACCCTCATTGCCTACACTGCAACTGAACGCACTGGGAGAACTTTGGCTACATAGAGTTTGGACATCTATTGACGACTGCCTGAGATGAACAAATGGTGTCACGTTGTCTCGCACCTTTGTACCTGGTACGGTGCCGAGCAAGACTTAATTCGTGCAGGTTTTGCAACATACATCTCCCCGCAGCAGGTCAAGCCATTCGGGCAAGTGGAAGCCTTCCGTCTATGATTCCCTTGAATGGCATGTCAAACAGCATATGTTCCTTTTGTAACCAAGCCCAAAAATGGTACCCTCCAAAACAAGCACACACACACACACATCAGGGCCTGAGGGACAATTGGAATGGGGTTGTGAGGCTCCTTAAAATACACAACAAGTCGTTTTCATGCAAATAATGCGAATGAATTTTCGCCCCCTGTTTGATGCATCCCATTCTAGACATGCGTTTAAGGGAGGACCCACAATCCAAATCTAAGTATTTGGCCCTGCAAACCAACATGGCACACAAAAAGCTTCCCCCAGTCCCAGTGTTTGTTGGGTCCATGCCAATCTGTAGACTGGTCCCTGGATAGGCCCCCCCCCATATTAGCCCTCTTGGGGTCCACTAAGATTCTTATGGAGTCTCTTCAGGCATCTTTCCTTCGGGGAACAATTTAGGGAAAGTGCGTGGTTTCTAAAGAAGGGACATCAATCCTCAGACTGGGTGTGTGTTCCAAAAACCTGGTATTTGGTTTGGAAGTTGGCAGGGTTTTTGCTTAGGGTGAATAGAATCAGGCCTTAGAATCTTACTTCGCTGGCAAAAAGACGACAAACACGGGCCGCCCGACTCGATCTGCCCGCCGCGGCTTGGCTTTTTTGCCAGGCGGGCCGTGTGCTGCGGCCGGAGGGGCGGCTGATTTTGCTCTCCGGTCGACCGGAGCTGCTGGCGAAAGCGGTGGTGCAGGCTTGGAATGCCGAGCTCGACCAGCACCCCCAATGGCTTTTTTGCCAGGGATCCATTTTGGGTACCTATTTTTGACCCACAGCCAGGTGAGCAACAATCAAAGCCCGGGTAGATGAGGGTTAGTATAGGACAGTCCCAACCATACATGGGCGCGGCCGCCTTCTGAATTATGTACACGGTTCTGGGTAGACAATTTTAAATACCAGGTTTTGATTGTGGCTCGTGTCACACTGTGCACAACACAGTGGTTGGGGGGAGCTGGCAGTATGTCTCCAGCAAGGAAAAACAAAAACATCGACCACAAAAGGGGTACAATAATTATTCTTGGGTGTCAAATCCGCAAACCGCCAATCCAAAATAAGGTTACCTGAATATTCTACGTTCGTCTATTCACTTTGCGAGTTGGAACCACCTGGACATGAATGCCCATGTCGGGAGCTCAGTTCAGAACTTTCTCCGAGCTCAAAGCTGTTTCTCACCCCCACTGTGCAACTGGTATATATTACATTCGTTGCTTGGGCATTTCTTTTTCGTGCTGTGACTGTAAGTCCCGAATGAAGTGAGTTATAGCCATGGTTACTTACTTGCCAGCCACTGAACGATTCGCCCTGGATCTATCATAGAGACCAGCAAATTACAGGACATGTTGCAGGAAATTCAGCAAAGCCCGCACCAAAATCACAGAATTCCTGCAGTTGTGCAAAATTTTCCACCAAAAGCGATAGGTTTCCTGTATCCAGATTCTTCTAACGTAGCACACACCCCTCCCCCCCCCGGCCACGCTTCAGGGCCGGTGGCGCACGGTGGGCGCCTGGCCGCTGCAACGGCACGGCCGGTACGGCGAAAAGCGGAAGGTGCAGGAGAAGTTGGAGCAGCCGCTGGGCAAAGGAAGTTGGGGTTTTTCGCCTGGGCGAAACTTCCCATTTGTTTCTAGGGTATATTCAGGTGCATTTTCAAGAAGGCTTTCCATGCGGGGGGGGTGATCAATCTACCTGGCCCCCAAAATCACCATGGGTAACTGTTGCTTTATTTGGTGGTGAGCATCTTTTGCGTTTTGCTTTTGTTCAATGGTCATGCCATGTCAATGTAAAGGACCTTTTGATCAACCTAAACCAACCCTTAAAAGGATACCCACAAAAAAGATAGACCCATTCCAGCACCCCCAACTCTTTGTTCCCATGTCCAACATGCCCATGGTAGTGTCCAAAAAGCAGTGGTCGGGGTTTCTATTGATCCACTTTTGGTAAAGGTCCCAAAAGGTGATCACCTGTTATCTCTATGGGAGGAATGAGGGACCCCATGGCCTGCCAAAAATCAGGCGTATCACAGATTCTATGATTTAACCTTTGACCCCGGCGAAAGGGTACTTAGCAAGAGGTTACCGCCATTGCATCCCACAACCCACTATCACAAGTCTAATGAGTAGTTAATATGCATGATTACTTGCCACTTGCTATACGCACCTCTTTAAGTGGCTTTGTAGGGAGGTTCTCAAGAGCCTCAACGAAAGAACTCTTCTTGGGCATCTGGTTCGAGCAACCTGTGCCTGGCATGCATGTGAGCACGCATGAGCAGCTGACAATGTGGGTGTGTCTTTTCTAGCGAACCCCCAAAATGGTGGTTTCCCTTTCGTGTCCCCTGAAAGCCCAACCAAAAAGCGGTCCCTTCAAAAAAGACACGCCCATGTTCTTGGTAGTCTTTCATCAGTTAGGGCGAAGGTGGGGCACACACATTCCTTACAAACTTGACCAAACTTGGTAAAAAGTGCCTTGCATGTGCTTGTGACCTCACCAAAAGGCGTTTGCGACCCATAGCAAAGTGTCCTTTTGTGAGGCTGGAAAAAACAACCTCGGGACTATTTTCCCAAAACACCCCTCGAGTTTTTGGGGGGTCATCTGGATCATTTGGCCATGGGAAACCAAACCGGTGCCTATGGCTCCGTTCCCTTTTTTGGTTGGATCAATTGTGGTTTGGTTTCAGGGCAAGCCAAAAGGAAACGCATGAATGCCATTTTGGGGGGGGGGGGGTCCGAATCCTACAAGACACACCCATATTCTCAGTTGCTCCAGTAGGCCACACTCCCAGTCCTTCCCTTCGGAGTTTCGACACCGAAAGGCAGGTAACCCTGCGGATTGCTTACCTCTAGCACCTCCAGTTTTGACCATGGATGGTTTTCCCTGCTTACCAACTCACGTTGCTTGCCGAGAAGCACGGTGGTGTGGATACATTCATCATTTTTTGAGTAGAGAACCCATGCACATACCCACTGTCTTTTTCCGGCTTCCCCTAAGAGAGTTGCATCTTGCCATTGCACCTGGGCTATTTCAGGGGACCCTCGGGTTTCTCTTCTTTCCAGGGTACCCTTATTTATAGGTGGGTTTAAATGGAAATCAAACTAGTTTGGTGTTCCCTAAGTTGACAAATCCAGTTTGGCTTTAGTAGCGGGGTTCCGAGGGAGGACGTTTCTTTGACTTGAGTGTATAAATCTGGAGTCTCCACCACTAATTTGTCTCATGATTCATTATGGGTGACCTCATGTTGAAGGGCTTTTGGTGATTGCAGCTGCAGATTCAGTTACCACTATAGCAAGGAACCAGGAATATTGAATCTGGTCTCTGATTGCCTGCCATATGGGTAACAGGATCGGGAGCAACACGTCAAATATTTGTGGGTCGGGGGCAATCGCCAAGCAGCCATACCCTTAGACGCTTTAGAGGGGTTGGGGACACGTCCCACCAAAAAAGTAACTGTAGCAAAAGGATCAACCAACAACCAAGCGAAGGTTAGTAAATCAGGTGTCGGGTTTATTTCAGTATAAAACTCATTCATGGCCAGAAGCCAGGAGGCCATTTGCCAGCTTTCCTTTGGAGCCAGGTTCGGTGAAGATTACTGGCACCCTGTCGCTGGGTGGGGAGGGTCCGACCTGTTGGGACACCCGAGGGCTCTCAAATAGCCACGGAGTTTTTGGGCAGCAGCTCCAATGACCTTTCGGCATGTTTACCTGGTTTTACAATTTTACATGGCTTCGCGTCATTACCTGCTATACTCTCAGTTGCCCAAAGTCGACCTTTGGGCCTTGTGGTTTGCGCTGTTTGCGTCATTGTTGGTCACGACTGCAAAAGGTTGGCCTGTTATTTCCGGGCCCTTTGGGCATGTTAACCCCGATTCTTCCGCTTACCAGAATAGTTGGTTTCCAGGGGAAACCAGCATGTAAAACCTTCAGGAAAGAAACACGAAGGGTTGCAGAAACCCTGGTCACCTGCTACAGTGGCAACTGGAAGCGCAGACCGTGGCCATAGGCTCGTGTGCCTCGAGCAGTCGCAAGTCTCTGAGTCGAAGGCCATCCCCAAGGAGGACGGCCGGGCCATGGCGTTTCTGGTAGGTCCATGTCCCCAAATGGCGCCACAGCGTCTTTATGGTGTTCCCTTACGAAAAACATGTAACCCGTGGCCGGGTGGGGTGGGGGGTGGGGAGCACTTGTCTTGTTTTTGTCCATAAGAACCCCCCGCCATTTGTCGAAGAACAACTTTGACCAGACCTCATGTGCGATGTTCGATGCAGAGCTCCAAGGCCGAATCGAGGTAGCTTGTTTGGAAGATGTTAATATCAAAATGTCCTCGGATGACACAACACATAACATACTTCCATTTGCTGAAATGAATGTTTGTTGTAATTTTCCCTTGTCGGATTTCCAGAATATTGCTGATGTCCCTTGTTGGAACTCAAGGGAATCGAGTTCACTACTGGAAATCGTTTTTTCTGCCCAAAGGGCTTATGCAAATGGCAGATTAGGGAAAGCCAATAAGATGACGGAGTTTCCCACACGGGAAAACTGAGCCATGGTCATTTGCAGGCAATAGCCACGGGTGGCAATAGCCAACAAGCGGCCTGAGTCCATTGGTTTCCCACGGGCCGGAGTATACCCTGTTTGGGTCATTGCATTGCCCACTGTTTGCCCAGTGCATCCTTTGAACCCTTTTTGCTTCAGTGAGTTGCCAACCAAAAAATGGATCAACTCCGGCATCGATGTGTTTTTTCTGCTAAGGGTCATTTGCAAGCGTTTGCTTATACTATTACATATGGGTTCAGCGAGAACTACATGCCATGTTTTAACTTTTTAAGCGTCAAGTATCACGAGCTTATGTCTGGTTTGTTCTCGTTTTGGAGACGCCGTAAGCGTCCGGCAAGACAAAGAGCAACAGATGGGAGCCAAAGGGACCTTTCTCCCTCCCGAACATGGAGGCTGCCTAGGAGACAAGTCTTGCCAGGAGGGCATGAACAAGGCCAAGCCAAAGAAGTCAGAGGACAGTCGAAGTCGGAGTTCTGTTTGTTACGCCACAACGTTTGCGTGTCTCGTGTATGGATCTTGCAGCGCATTGGTCGCTGTCAACATGTCACCAACATCAGACAGACCCAGTGCTTCCGGCTATAGTTGGTAACCAGGGCAAGCCCATGTAAAACCCGGAGTGGAAGACCCACCAATCCAGGGTAAAACCTAGAGGTAAGAAACCCGAAGGGTTACCTGGTATGGATGGTGGAAGCACTGAGAGAAGTAAGAGACTACGCTGCGGTGCGTTGCGCATTTCAGTTTGGGAACCTACCAAGGCATGTGTGTCGTTTCGGTCAACAGCCGTCGCCAGAGGTTTTGTACGCCTCGAAAGTGGGTGTGAAAAAACTACCACAGAATGTGACATGGATTCCCTTTGGTTTTCCTAAACATGTCGCATCCAATTTGCAGGGTCCCAGCAATAAGTTGGCGCGCCACAAGTAAGTCGGATGTTACTAGTTGTTCACATCTATATGTTACATGTTGTTTGCTCATGGTTGGAAACCGTGACTTGCCCCAAACCAAACTTGAAAACTTTTGAACTTTTGCAATCCCCAGGGATTTGAAACACAGAAAGGCTCCCGACTGCTGCCCGGGCCTTTAAAATGGAGCTATTTGAGAGTCTTGGGGCTGGGGTGTCCCTGAGAGGGCTCGGACCCTTCTTAGAAGGAATCCATGAGTGTGTTCACTGGTCTTGGCATGCGTGGTTTGTTCTGTGCACGTTTTGCGAGCTGTAAAAACGATTTTGGCTCTCATGCCAAAGATTGGATGCTTGCTGGTCAGGGGCTTTGCCAAGCGCCCAGGAAATGAAGGCGCTGTGGGCCAAGCTCGGATTGTAGCACGGAGGAAAAAGCGACAGCGGACCTGCGTGCTCTTCGCTACTCCCCGAGTTTGCCGAGTGGCGAATGTGTGCTTCCCGAATTCGGCTTTGTATTATCTAGTTCTGATTGGGAGATTAGCCTAGAAGAAGACATTTGGCAAGAGAAGCCCTGTAAAATGCACGAACAGCTCATCGTCACCATGCTCTCTGAACTTCCCAGACTTCGAAGGAGTTGGGACCCCAATGGTGGTTTAAAGGAGTCTCACCACCCCAAGGAGCAATCTAACGAGCACGCCTGAAAATGCTTGGACCAATTTAAGTGGGACATACCCAAGTAGTATAAACGAGGCCGCTCCCCTTCAAACCTTTGGGAAGACCATTTTAGACTTTTACCGGCCAATCCACTCAGGAAGTGAGGAAATTGTACGAAGACACCAAGGCTTTCCCAACACACAAGTTTCCGGCCAAACCCGCGCAGCTTAGGGCGTTGCTTGCCACCCCACCCCACCCCACCCACCCCACCCCTCAGGCGTATCGACTCGCTGGAGACGATGGTGCACCAGACCTTGGGAGAGCTGGTGTCCATCGCCAACGAAGCGGGTGTGCCCACGGGCGGCAAGGCGCGGGGGATTGGGCTCGTGATCTTCGTGTTCTGTTTGGGTTCCACGATGTCTCTGCTGTCTTCGACTTTGGAAAATTTGGGTGAGGGAGTTGTGACCTGGTTTGTCTTAAAACTAAGGGAACCCCCCAAATGGAATTTGTTTCTTTTTGTTCCTCAAAAAAGAACCAAAAGGGGTTTACCTTATAAAAGAGAGACCCATCCCGCCAAAAGTTCAACTAGCAAGGGACCGAGGAGCTGCTAATGGGTTGCCTTCTTTAATTCAAACGGCAACCAACAAAGTTGACGCCCCATATTGACCCATTTACCTATGTTGCATTCATAAACATGAAGGGAAGACATCGAATATATCCAACATGTCCCACAAAAGCCAGCGGTATATGAATCACGTGTCACCATCCGCATATTGAGCAAAGGACAATGTTGCCAGGTTATGTTTTTCAAGTTGGTGGCTATCCCAGTTCCAGCTCGGGCAAGTGCGCCCATTCCATTCTCTCCTGTGCTCTTGAAAAAGACAAGTAGTTTGTTGTCCGGTGCTCACATTGGAATAGGAAAGATGAGCGGCCTTCTCCGTTTTTGCCTCAACACCAAGCTGTTTGTGCATTTGTGCATTCGGGGTGCCATCAGTGGTTGGCAACCGGGCTCAAGTACACGAAGTTTGGCCGCAACATCTATGTTCCGCTCGGGACCACCGGACTTTTTCTCCCAAGAGCTTGGGGACTCCACAAACTCATTTTCCGATGTCCACATGTTTCAGCATCCGCCAGGCTCGCCCTGGAGCGGCTGCCGTGCCCCCAGCGTACACCTGGTTGTGTTTTGCTTCGCCAATCAGACTTCTGCACGTTTTTTGGGCTGTCAGAATTAGGCGATGACTTCGGATTAAATTGGAGGACTCACTCTAGTCAGGCGTGTGTTTTTCTTTATGAAAATGATCAGTTCTTGGGGGTTCCGCTGACTTCCTTTGGCCCTTGCCGATGCGCAACAGGTGTATCAACCAACCCGTGTCCTTCTCGAAATGGGCTTGTCTTTTTGCTGAGGGTGAAAATTTATTGTTTGTTGTGTTTAAAGGGAAGCCAAAGGAAACACCACCATTCTGGTGGGTCCGAATCCTACAAGAAACATTTTCAGGCTCGAGTTCCCTCCATTTCCGTTTTGTTCTCAGAGTTCTCGACTCCTGACCAAATTCCGAGTTGTTTTTCTCCAAACTCGGCTTCCAAGGTCCAAGTTCCAAGCACTGTCCAAGAAATGCGGGAAATCCCCTCCCCAAGAATGAGGACACATGAAAGCAACGCAATGTTGTCCCGGATGAATAAACCCGTCCCATCGGGGGGTGTGGGGCGCCTTCAACAGTGATGTCTGAATCCAACCACATTTCACCCAGAAACACAGGGATCGCTACGAAGAAACTGGGGTTGATTTGTCCGCGGTTCCCATGAAGCACTGATGAAGTTTGCTGCGCGCCGGTTAGCAAACGGTACACGGACCGTCCGGTCCCTTGAAGCACGCCACAAATACACCTAGAGGTGGTACATGTCGGAACCCTTTAAGAGTTCCAAACCTTGGGCTCCCAATTTTGAGACATGCGGGGCAGAAAGGAACTCATTATGTTTGATCTGCGGCTCCTTTGCTCGCGCCTGTGCTATGGCAATCGGTGTATGGCGGTGGGTCAAACAAATAGGGTGCCTGCTCCAGGCTCAGGCACGAGGTCCTTAAAGTCGATCGCTTCGCCGAGGCCGCAATCGGCGTCACAGGCGCGAGGATGGTCTCGCTGCACGGAAGTCTTAACGGGCTGAAACCGTGGTGTGGAAAGCTTGGCTTTAAGGCCATTTTCTGGATCCCAAGCAATTCTCCTTTCAGAGGATCAGGTAGTCACAGGGATGGAAATCCCACTGGAGGATAACAGAAAAGGTCTTTTTCCCACAACATGGCTGAAACTCTCCAGAGAGGCGATGTGTTCATTCTTCTGTGCAAAAGTGGCTCGTTGCCCCCCCCCCAAAAAAAAGAAGAGCTGTTTCCATTTATAGCCAGAAAGGGCACCCTCAACAAATGGACACACCCAAATGGCAAAGATCCACAGACTTCTCCGTGGTTCTCATAGGAAGGAAACCGCATGCAGATGATGAAGGCTTAAGCTATTGACAAGTACATGTTTCCTGTGGATTGGCAATGCAAAGTGAGTTTGTTTGGACGCAGGTTGGACACCTGTGGGTTACAAAGGATTACTCTAAGCGTGTGTGTAGCATCTGAGCTTTTTGGCTAGACCCCATTCAACGGGTTAACATTCCCCCCCTTCAATCGAATTGGAGCGAGGAGGCTACTGCCTGGAGTTTCATGTTCGGCTTCCGCGGGGAAGACTAGACAAACACTGCCTGCCCCAGGGGATGGTACAACCAATTTTAAAAGCTGCAACCCTGAATCTGGGCAAGTTATTTGCATGCTTGGTGTGGTTGAATATCGCTGGATTCCACTCATGTCAGTTAGTTCATTTGCCAGCGACGATGTAGGCCCTTTGCTCGGGGATATGTGATGTCAGGTCTTGCAATTATTGTGAATTTCTGCATATTGATTGGCTCAGTGTGTTTAAAAGCATATACTATATTCCACTTGAGTCCGTTTTTCAAATGTTCTGTTTTGACTATCTACATCCTGAAGAAATGTTCAGCATCTCTGGTTTGAAAGGGGGCTGGGATGGGAGGGTTTCCAGCCTCGCCGTTACGTCCAAAGCCCCCCCCTCGAGGTTCTGCGGAGACGAGGTTCGGGGTCTTCTCCATTATATCCATTGTAGATATCGGAAGAGAGTTGGAACATATGGGTCTATCTTTTTGAAGGTACCACATGTTAAAGGAGAACACAAGAAAAAACAACCACAGTTTTCGGGGTACCCTAAAAGATACCCCCAGCTGATTATTTGTTTGTTCCAGATGCGGGCCAAAGTGTTTGAAGTTGGCGTGCCAAAAAGGCGGGGGTGTTTGACAGGAAAACCGAAAGCAAGCCACAAGCCAGTTGTAGGGCATTGTAGGTTTCATATTTGGTGTTTGAGTCTTTGCAGCGGCTTGAATGGGGGTTTATGCGCAGCTTCAATCTTAGTGTTCATTAAAGTATTTTACACCTGCACAATCAGCAACGGATGCTTTGAGGCCTTGATTCAAGCAACAAGTTGCCGGTTGCCTGATGTCGATTACATGTACCCTCATGTCCACGAACACGGAACCAGCAGAGGCTGCCTTTTAAAGGACGTTATTCTTTCAGGAACCCTCACTCGGGTTCCATGTTATTGGACAGAAGGGTAAGTTGAAGTGCAAACTAGGTGTGACAAATTGTTCTTAAACAAAGCAACATGTTTTGTTGGTTAATCAGATTGTGAGTCTAGTTTTGTCCCCCCTGATGTCTACGGGTTTCTTTTTCGCCTCTCCAAGTTCATGTCTTGTTTGATGGTATCCTGTGGTTGAGAAAAAGTATGCTAATTCACACCCCGCAAAGGCACGGAGAATCCTGCCTGAGGAATACTCCCAGCAACTTGGAACCCAGGCGCGGCCAACCCTGGCGGCAATGCGCAGGCCGGAGCCGATCCAAGGGTGAGACCGTCCGAAATGCAGAGGTTCACTGGTGGATTTCCGTTTCTTGGGAGCAAAAACATTACCCCCACCCGTTCGACGTTCGAATAGGTTGAGGACCAGAGCAGGGTGTCGCATGGCAAGCGACATATACCACACACTGTCCCAGATCCCCCTATGTTTGCTTTTTTGTTGTGGAGAGCTCACTTGGAGCGCTTATTCATGACATTGACAACATTACCACAGCATCGGTTTTGGGTTGGCCCCTATCGATTTGCAGGCTGGTATCTGTGGTATAGCAGGAAACCAAGGGAAACCGTGATATAAAACCTAGAAGTAAAAGTATTTGGTTGTCTACGAATGCACCTCGGCATGGACCCCACTTAAGCTTTAGGGGCTCCCCGCGCGATGTTTTGGAGAGCCCAGCTAATTTGGCAGGAGTGCCCGTGCTCCAAGTTGCCCGGCCCGTGTTTATTTAGGGTGTATATTCAACCATGGTGTTTCAGTGGAGATATCTTCTTTCTTCGGGGGTTGCTGCACATGTTGAGCAGTGTTTTCATCTCAGAGGCAAAGAACGGCTGCTACTTGGTTTCCAGGTTTGGTTTTGGCTCAGTCCAGGTTTGAAACCTCCAAAAGTGGCAATGTCAATGGACAGCGCCAGTAAATTGCAACCTCTCTGGTCTGATAGTCATACCTGGAAGCCCTGACTGATGTGTTTCTTGTGAAGCGAGTTCTTCCGCAACCCCGCAGACCGGCATCACCGGTATGGCGGGCAGCCGTCAGGAGGCAGGGGGCCCAGAAATTGCTGGGCAGTTGAGGGAGCGGAAGGCGTTTGTTCTCAATCCCAAGTTGCTT